TGATCAATACCGGCCCCAAGATCTTTCCTCCAGCTCCTTCCTCTGTGTTGATCATGTCTATTTATAGGCTTAGGAGTGGCTGAGTTAGTGGTCATTAACTCTCTTTTAATTGGTGAGTTAGTGGTCTTTAACTCTGCTTAAATGGCGAGTTAGTAGAGTGAACCGTTTCCTTAAAAGTAGCTTGTGAAAACGGCTATGCACGAAGTTCGCCAATAACGATCATGGGTGAAGTTTGTTGATCAAACTTTACTAGGATATGGTTAGTCCATTATCTTTAGAACGTGGGTGATGTGGCGCATGCGGGCTACTTGATGAAGCTTGCTAGGGTAAGCTTCATTACGTGGCACACGTAGACTATTTGGGCGAAGTTCGTCTTAGGCGAACTTCACTTGAAGCTTCACATTAACTTGGTCTTGAGAGAGAGAGAGAGAGAGAGAGAGAGAGAGAGAGAGAGAGAGAGACGAGACGAGGAGAGGAGAGAAAGGACTTCATTATGATTTGTTGACTTTCGCGTATGGATGTGGTGAGCTCTGTATGTTCTGCTTAGGCCATTTTGATCTGATTCAGTGTTTGGTCCATAGGCATCCACTTCTTGGGCTCAACTATCAACCTTGTGTCTAGTATTGATTTAGGCCTCTCATGACTTAAGAGATCAACTGCATGTGGAAGAGGCCTATATATTTAACTATCTACAAGATCCTCCCAAAGTTTTTGAGATCCTACATTTGACTTGTAGCAGTGGTCAGAATACTTTGGGTAATAGCTAGAGTGTATTATTGAACGTGGCTTTAGTTGTCTTAGTGGATCTGTCTCCATTCGACTACTTTATTGCTAGAGGTGTATTGTTAAATGTGGCTTCTATCATTATGGATTCATATTGTGTTGAATATTCAGTTGTATCTGCGTGTTCTCTCATAAAAAGAGTCCGTCCAATTTTGTATTTGAAATGAAGCTGAATGCGCCATTTTAACCCATATTTGGAGCAAAGTTGGCATAGTTATTAGAAGTGTAGCTGGTTGCTGGTGTAGCTGGCTGCTGGTGTAGCTGTTGGAATGTAGTTGAATAATGGCATAGTTGCTAGACCGTAACTACTAGAGCATAGCCGAATATTAGCGTAGCTATTAGTGCATAGCCAAATGTTGATGTAGATGCTAGAGCGTAGCTGAATGTTTAACCATAGTTTATACTCATACATTCTTCAAAGTATTCTATCATCTCGATCGAGCTAGGGAGATTTATGGTGTCTACAGTTTAGGCTCTTGAGTAATTGGAGCATGAGAAATTGTTTATACTCATATACATGTTGGAGTCTATATAGTTTAAGCTCTTAAGGTGCTAGAGCATGGAGAAGTAGTTTATACTCAATACACATTAGAGTATATGGAGCAGTGTAACCTTGTATACCAGTCGAAGGGAGGCAGGAAGGAAGCCGAGAAACATGAAGTAAGTAGGGATTGATGCAAGAAGAGACTTAATGAAAGTTTTTCTCCCGGCGTAAGACAAAGACTGAGCTTTCCATCGCCTTTTTGTTTGTTCTGCATCTTGTCCAAGATAAAGCTGTCAGACTTCTATTTATATCTCCCGACGAATAGTGGACCATCAAGATAAGATCTCCTAAAGAGAAAGATTGGACAAGAGAATAAGGGCAACTAGTCTTCTTTTGACCAGTAAATGTAGTTGCAAGACTATTGAGTGAAAGCTTTTTGGGAATTAGGAAGTAGTTTAACCTCATAAACCCATCGAAAGTAGAAGAGATTGACATAGGTGTGATATTAATTGGTCGACTCAAAAGAGGACTGATAAAGGAGTAATGTTAACCGGTCAAGTCCATGGTACATACTGTCCACAGGTGTAGTGTTAACATGAAAGTTGGGAAAGTCGATAGAGGTGTAATGTTAACCAGTCGATGGAACAAGCTAATA